AATCACATAGAAATGGTATTCCGAATGGCCTCAATTGGACTAGCCTATTCTGACTGAGGTGTTTACATGGACGTATTCTATTCCGATTGAGCTATTAGTCGGATTATTAGGCTACATGTAAACGTGGCCATTGAATGTTTCAGAATGACCATCACTACTTAACTGGAACTGACCATGTAATGTAACCTTATTTAGAAGTTTTTACTGGCATGAAATTGTAGCCCAGGCCAAACCAGACCAGGCCGACTCTTACGGCTAAACTTGAGACCCAAAACGCTATGGAAGGGCTGCATCCACAGCCATCCGTCAGTGCAGCACTGCAGGGATGACGTGCTAATCCTCCTGCTATCGTAGTTTAGAAGACTTTTGTAAGCTCTGCACTTCACAGGATCAGTGTGTTTTTTTGTCTAATATAACATTAATTTCAAAATGTCTCCACTTTAGATTTTTGTTTTATTTTGTCTGTGTCGAACACTTAGCAAGGCTGTCATCTAGGCTTATGGACTACACTAGAAGAAGAAAAGAGGGAGGGAGCAGAAAAGAGGAAATGTGTGAAAGTACTTGGGCATATTTCTCAACAAATACTAATCCACTACATAAAAAAAAACAAAAAACTGAGCCTTATGTACATGAAAAACGCCCGGAAATCATAGACCTCAGATCATTAATAGGTCAGTAGTCTACATCTGTAGATATCTGGCAAGAAGAAGCCTAGCTGATCAGTCAGCAAGTGTCCCAAACGCTTAGCATGACATTCTGCAGGTCTGCAGTGTTATGTTAGGTCAGTTTACAGTGGCTTACATTTGTTCTCATCTGTTGCCATTTGTGTTTTCGTGTATTTGTTTTCACATTTTGAATGTGCTTTATTTTTTCCTCACTGATTTGCCTGCTCTGCCTGAAGATTTGCATTGGTGTTTTGGAAATTGTTTGCATGCTTTTTCTTTTCATTTGCACTGTGAGGAGTGTCTCGTTGCTGTGTATGCGCTCTCAGCATTTCCAGATTGTCATGTTTTGTAGCTCGCGCCCGTAGCAGCACACCTGTGATGTGGGAACACTGGTGTAGATGTAGATGTGAGAACAGATACTGTATGTGCATTGTACTTCCCAGGAATGTGAAAATCAGTCAGCAATCTGCTGATGCTGAATGATAACTAAGAGGCCTGTGAAATTCATGAAAGGGCTAGATGTCCTCCACCCAAGCCACAGTGGAACTTATTTTCCTATTGTCACCTTTGCTGATAAGGATGGATTGTTAAGAATTTGTATACGGGTCGATGCACGCTCTCTCTGAACAGAGAGGTTAAAAATAGAGATGGCGCAATATCACCTTTTCTAATATCAATACTGAAATCTTGGAAACTGGCGATACCGACACCATTTTAATATCTATATATTATTTATTCTTTATTTAAAAACTACTAAGCTTTAAATTTTTTAACTGAAGCATCTTCACTGAAGATGGCCATGTAAAAGAGTCGTTCAGAAAAATGATCTGCCAGCTGAATAAGACAATTCTTCTAGATTTAATTGCTTGAAACAAGTTAAAAAGCTCTAGAAGTAATTTAAAGAATCTTATAATATTCTTAAAACAATCTCATAATGAGCCAAGCTTGTAATAATAGAAGAACCCTTTTTGGTGCTATATAGAACCATCTATCATCAATCTGAAGAACGCTTTCATGCAAAGAACCCTTTAATCTTCCAAAGATAGATTCAACTTTGTGATTGCTCAGTACAAGTACAAGGCAACGAAATAGAGTTAGCATCTACCAGAAGTGCAAATAGTAGCAATAGTGCAAAACGGACAGTGCAAATGTACAATAACAGGCATAAATATGACGTGTCTATGAAATATATAACAATGTGTACACAATTACAAATATATTTATGAATGATACATACGTGTGTGTGTGTGTGTGTGTATATACACATAACACTATAAATACAGTACATACAGTATGTTATGTTATGGGTTCTTTGAGTGTTCGTGGTTCTATATAGAACCATTTTCTTCACTAAAGGACCCTTGTAGAACCATCCTTTTTAAGTGTGTAGATTTAAGGTGTTTCATTATTGGGGATACTAATTGTGGATGGTGCCATCTCTAGTTAAAAACAACAGGTGGTGTATTATTTTTATACACATCTATGTGTCCAGTTAAGCATGACACATTTTGTGTTACTTTCAAAGGGGAATTCCACCAATATTTCTAGATTTCTGTATAATTAAATAATTGAAATATAAACAAAGCCATTCAGAGTGATTTGATGTGAAATGCTCTGCTCTAGAGAAACATAGTTAGAATTGTTCACAGTGGTTGCGATGGGAACCAGACGTCTGAACAGTTTAAAGGTGGACCACTGAAACATTTTAATCTATGTAATTATAAATACGCTGCGTGAGGCTTTGTTTTACAATAATTTTGAGAATATTTTGGCCTAAATCTTTTTTTTAAGAGCAATTTGTGGTGTTTTTTTTTCCAGATTTTTCACTATTTACCATTATCAACATTGCATTTAAAAACTCAGAAGGCACATATAGGTTTCCTGGTGGTTTTGGACAGTAAATAAAATGGCTATTTTGTGTTGTAGACATTGTGACCCCTGGTTCCTATCACCACCACTGTAAAGAAACCGTAGTCAGTAAGTTTCTCATCAACGGATCATTTTACTTTAAACCACTCTGAATGACTTTACATCTCAACCATTGAATTATGCAGAAATTTTGAAAACTGAGATACGCTGTGTTAAAATAATAATGCAAAAAAGGGGACGTGTGTGCGTATGTGTTAATTAATCAGAGTAGGGAGCTGTTGATTGAATGGCACTAATGCTTTGGCACGCTGTGTAATGCCTCGTCTCTTCTTTCGCCCTGAATCTGTGCTGTTATTCGATCCTCGGTGGCTGTCTGTCCTTATCTTTCTGTCTGTCTGCCTCTCTCAGTCTGGTATGCCTGGCTGACCAGGAGAACCTGTTTCTTACACAACACTCCTCCTGGCCCTGTAGCTTTTGCCACACTCCACGGTGCACTGAATTTTCCCTGACGTGAATGATGAGCATCCCTAAAGCTTCCTCATGCTTGCCTGTCTAACCTAGCACCTGTGTCGCCTCTCTAATGGAGCTCCTCCAAGCCTGGACTCCTCCTATCGGACCCTATTTATCCTCCAGCGTGACGGATGGAATGTGGGTCTGAGGTTTTATTGCACAGCCCGAAGTCGTCCTACTGTCCCTGATGTTCCAGCAAAACATTCTTTAGAGGTCTGTTATGTAAGAACAGGCGTTTTAACAAGCTTTCGTCGCATAACATGCTATCAGATGCTGAGGTCACTTTTTTGTGGAATTTGATATGGTTACATCATACTGGAATGATCAGAAGGATTGTGTGAGAACCAGTGAGGAGGAACGTGTGGATTACACACCTTTATTGGAGGGTAAAGCCAGCCAGTTTGAGAGAGAGAGGAGGGAGAGAGAGAGAGAGAGAGGAGAGGGAGGGAGAGGGAGAGATATATATATATATATATATATATATATATATATATATATATATATATACACACACACACGAGGTTAGGGATGTTATGGTTACCGCATTTAATGATATTCCACAATATCATTAAATGCAGTAATGAATAATTCTAATGATGTATGATGACAACACGTTTACATATGCTACATGGCCAAAAGTATCCAGACACCCTTTCTTATTAGAAAGCATGAGCTAGTCTCTATACCCTATACCAGTCATTGGCTAGAGGGGTATTAACCCACACACCCACCCACCCCACAGTGGAGCTCCATCTGATATCTTTGGGATGAGTTGGAATGATCCAGAACGAATCATTCAACATCAGTACCTGACCTCACTGATGTTCTCATGGCTGAATACAATCAAATCCTCACAGCAATCAAAAATTCCAACATCTAGTGTAAAGCCTTCCCAGAAGAGTAGAGGCTGTTACTGCAGCAAAGAAGGAACAAACTCTTAATAATCCCCCTTAACAAGAAACATTGATGAGCCAGCGTCTACAATCTCTTGTACGTGTGCAGTGTAGTTATATGAACAGTTAATAATGTCATTTGCATTTAAATTGTAGTGTAGTGCTCTAAATAAACACAGTAGGATCAATAAAGTAGATTTAATACCTGTGGTGAAATGATTTCACTGTGTATTAGTGTATTCTGAATGTGTACCTAATTTCCAGACAACATTTGGAACCACCTACATGAGTTGTGAGTTGTACCACTGAACAGAAATTTGGTTTTATTGCCAAAACAGGAGGCATGTTTCGTATCCAACTGGATGATTGTTCTTTAATTAATCAAATAACCACGTAGACATGATGGATCATGAGTTATTGCTGTATTGTCCTTTTTCATTAGAATTTCATTCAGTTCCAGCAAAATTATAGAGGAGCCCCATTATCTTACAGAGTTGTAGTGCCCTCTGCTGGTCATACACAAAGATCTTTTAATAGGTCTACCTCATATATATACATATATTCCCAAATACGGCAGGCTATGCTCATTTGACAAAATGCAGGAATAAAGAAACCCAGCAAAATGCACGAGATACAACTTAAACTTTTAATGTCATTCTATGAGCATTAGTGTGCTTATACCTACAGGTGGGCGATATGGCAAAATGTAATATCATGATATTTTAGGACGTTTTTACGATATACAATCTCTCACAGTATTTAGTTTTTGTGACATATAGTACATTGGAACAAACAAAGTAGTGACAGATTTTAAAAATACTATTAAAAATTCTGAATACAATTACTTGTATTCAACTTTTCACACTGTGCTGCACTAAATCTGGTCGAACAGAACTAATTATACTCACTTTTTATTCAAACGCATATTGTGACACAATGTAGTGTCATTTATCATTATAATGATAAATATCGTCATATTGCCCAGCTCTGCTTATACCTGAGTAGCCAGTACATGCTGATCCGATGGGAGCAGGTTTGTGAAGTTGTTTTTGCATCTCAACAGGACCCTGTAAGAGTGTAAGCTGGCTCCTGGGACGAGATGGAGAGGTGCATGTGTGTGTTATTGGAGAGATGGAGGAGTCAAAGTCCCACAAACTCATCCTGTCTGAACTCAGGGAGCAAAACAGGACCAACTCCAGCAAAGCCAACAGGTACTGTAGACCTCACATGGCACACAGCTTCTCTGAAATGGCAACAAAAGTACATATATACCATTGGCATAGACAGACACTCATTTTAGTGAGGAGGCTGAAGGGGCAGCTAGGATGCATTATGTCCACTAAGCTAAAGTTGGCTTATTATTTAAATTTTTCTTTCCACCTTAAATGTTGCAGCAGTCATAATCTAACCCCCGCATCTCTTAAGGTGGAATGTAAAACTCCAAAAAGAAGCCCAAAAGTATGAATTCAATTATTTGTATTCAACATTTCACACTAATTCCAATTAAACAGCACACCAAAATCAAATTTACACCAGACCCCCCTTAACAAAAATATGTTATCACACAGTTTACTTCTTTAGTTTTGCACTGGAACCACAAGGCCTATGTTCAACCAGTTTAACATCTGCAAACTCTGCTTATATGGTTTCTGACATTGTACATAAAAGTGCTACCTGATGTGCTGTTATCTATAAACATGGACAAAGATACAGTCAAAATTCAGGCTTCAAGATCGCTGTCAATATTGTTGTTAGCTATAAAACGTACTGTTTTGTGCATTCTTAGACAATAGTAGGTCAGACAGTGTCAGAGACCACATAGGCAAGTCTATTTGAGATTAATTAATAACTTGACACAGTTTGAGGAAAATAGGACTTGATTTAGCGATACGGTTAGCAGAATGCTAAACCATTAGCAATAAACTTGTACTGCAGTACTAAACTAAAGAAAACCACAGACATTAAGCCCAGCTTGGCTGTGTGAAAACTTTTAGGGTGAGGTGAGTTTGATTTTCGGTCAAACCGTAGCTTGAACAGCATAAACTTACTCAGCAGGATGGACGGCATGTAAGTCTTAAGTTTAAGGAGAGGACTGAGTGGCATTTCAAGTGTGGCTTATAGAAACTGTGAATGGGGACGAGGAAAGTGACCGTGTATGAGGGCGGTTTGCTGCAGCACATCCTGAAAAAAAACATACAAGTTTCAAAATGACCACAGAATGAACTTTCACTGATAAGCCACTGCAGTGACTTGTATGAGTGGGTGAATAAAGTTATATTGCTTTCTGTTGCCTCTCTGAACAGACCTCAGGCTACAGAGCCTCTCAAAAGCAGCATGGCCAGCAGACCGGCCCAGCAGGCCAGCACTAAACCCGGCATAGAGCTGCTGCTCAAAGTGAGTATGGCTGAGTCAATGTGTTGGTGTAAATTCAGTGTGCGTGCATTCAAGGAGTGTACACAGCTGTGTACATATTAGCATTAATGAGTGTACTGTTGATGCACACATGCATGTTTAATGAACTGAAGTTGGGCTGTCAGTACCAATTATTAACAACGGAGTAATTCACTGACTGGTTTAATGATTAATCAGTTATGAACAACTAAAATGTGGATTTAATTGCAAAATACTAACCAGAAAAACCTGTGAAAGGTTCCAAAATACTTCACATATCTTACTGGAAAAGAATAAACTAGAAAGCCTTTAAAAAAAGACTAAAAATCAAAAGTTCTTTAGTAAAGAAAATGATTCTGTATAGGAACCAAGAATGCTCAAAGGCCCCTTTGCATGATTAAATGGTTCTTCGCATCATGAAGTGTTCTTCAGATTAATGGAAAATGTGTTACTTATGGTTCTATATAGAACTTATTTTGAAAAGGGTTCTATATAGCCTCAAAAGGGGCTCTTCTCTTGTTAGTGTCAAGCTTTTATATAGAACCATATACAGCACATTCTCCATCAATCTGAAGAACGCTTTCACCATGCAAAGAATCCCTTAATCATGCAAAAGGTTCTTTGAGTGTTTATTGTTCTATATAGAACCATTTGTCTTCACTATGTAACCCTTGAAGAACCATATTTTCTCTACAAATTTTAGCGCAAAATTTCTATTTATTTTGCAAATAAAGAGTAAATGTGCATTTTTATATATATATATATATATATATATATATATATATATATATATATATATATATATAATAAAATAATTGAGATCAAGTAAATCAAATAATCATAACTAAGCTGAGGTCAGGATTCCAGCTATATAGCAGTCTGGTTGTGCCAAGTCTTAGAGCTTATTAGCTGATTACGGTGCTGTTGTGCTGTTATATTTACAGAAGGCAGCAGAGATGAACCACTCGGGCAGTGTCCCAGACAGCCAGAAACAGGACAGCGATTCTGATTCTCTAGATGACCAAAAGGACCCAAAGGACAATTCAGACTCCTTGAATTCTGTGACCAACCATAACAGTGATCTGGCTAATTCCCAACCCCAGAGGATAGACAGAGACATATCTATGACAGAGAGACTGAACCAGCTTAATTTGCAGAGAAACGCCAAGGAGCAGCTGTCTGTCAAAAACGAGCCCCGCCCACAGGACACGCCCACACAAGAGAAAGGTAAGTCAGTGCTGTCTGGGATGAGTGGTGCCGTAGATGGGGATATGTGTTGTGAGTGAGTGCCATCTAGTGGATGTATATTGGCAGTGGAGTTCTTAGAGTAGAAGCTGCCCTTTAAAACTAAGGAGAACCTGTATTTCTATCAGGAACTGATAATTTGACAGTTTGAGGAATACATATTCGAGCAGGAGAAATGCAAGATGTAAAGTGCATCTAAACTGGGAAACACTGCTCTACACAGTCCTATTTGGATAGATCTCCACTCCATTGATAGTTCTTATCCCAGGCTCTAAAAATGTAATGCAAAATTTCATTCAACACTATGACTATATTACCTATATTTCGTAAATAGGCTGGAAAAACAGGTGAAATATACTTTATTCATGTCTCATACCGTCAAAACAAATATGCTAGTTTGGAATCTGTAACGAAAAGAAGACTATTAATATGTTGCTGATGTTGGAAGAAAACCTCATTTTTCTGTTTTTGACATAATTTGAACATATCTGTTGGCCTTTACATTGTGTGGAAATTTCATGAAGAGTGGATCAAAAGAAACGGCCCAAAATTACTTGGAAAAATGTCTTTTTCCTTTGACTTACATTAAAAGTAAAGTATGTTTTTTCCTTTTCTTGTAAAGTTACAGTTTTAGAGATTTCATCTGTCAACAGTGATATGCTAGTTCGCAAACAGCTATTTTTTTTATTTTTTTTAATTCACCCTGTGTGTTCATCTCTTGCCATTGAATTTTCAGAATCTCTGCATGTTCACATCTCAACAGTTGAACTAAAGTCGTTCAGAGTGGTTTGATGTGAAGTGATAAATTGTAGAGAAAATTATGAGGCTGATTTCTTTACAGTGGTGTCAGGAACCCCAGGGTCCACAGTGTCCAAAATGTCTTCTAAGTTTTGTATGTGATATTTAACCACAATTAACAACATTTTAAATCTGGAAAAAGAAAATCATTAGTTACTATTTTTCTTTACATAGCCCTGCATGTACCTCTTCTTCGACTTTTAACTCTTCTTTCAGTGTCTCAGGCATCAGGAAAGCATATTCACAGCCATGCCAAGTGATGGCTTGCTGTGAGGTAGCTATTAGAGGCATTCAAAGCTTCAGACGTCTGGTTCCTATCACCACCACTGTGAACACTCTGACTCAGCAAGAAAGGAGTATTTCACATGAACAACTTTGTTCTGAATCGTTGTTGTTTATTGTTCATTTAAGTCTCAAGGCATGATTGCATTGGCTTAAGATGAAGAAACGACATGAGCGCTTGTTGACTATTTCATGTTATTACTCATGGCTCAGGGGTTAGGGGTTAGGGTCAGCTTAGCCATAGTGAGTTATCAAAGTTCAGTCATGAATTTAGTGCAGATTTAACGCTATTTTCCGAGCACATTTAACCAGAGGAGAGATCGAATGTGCCGAGATGATTAACTATGAAATATTAATGTCCAGTGCATTCTGTGATCTGGGGCCAGCCAGATTGATTGCTGTTATTTTTTGAAGACTTTAAAGGGCCTTATGGGTAGTGCACATGCACAGATATTAAAATAAGTGTCTGTACTGAGTGAGAGGATTTGCAGTATTTGTGTAGTGACCTAATATGGAGCACGGAATCATATTTAAGTTGCATTATTGATATTGCCATGCTGTTATTGTTATTATACCTCCTTGATGGACCTGCAGATCACGTGTGCTTGTATAGGACGTGAGTCCAATCCAACTAGATGATACTAATTTACATTTAGGCAGGCTGATCTATAGGTTGTATAGATCTCACTGCCACCCTGTGTAAAACTTAATAGATCTCTATGTAGAGAGATGCATATCACAGCACTGTGTGTACAGTAGGTTTATCTAAAACTGACCAAGCTTTATGGCATTTTATGGTAGCATTATGCCCAAGTTTGGCCAAAGCTGTCCTACTAGCTAACGTTTTCCATCACACAGTGTTTATGCACAGGTTGGCTTTTGGAGTACGTCACTGTCTTATGTACATGTTATGACAACATGCTATGAAAGGAGAGAAACAGGATTTGTTGTCCGTCATAACCACCTAGCCACAGTGCGATACTAGTGTTTGGATGACTGGCCATATTCCTACTTGTGTTTGTCACAAACACACTGAGCTCACATAAGGATGTTATTGGCTTGGTGATGATCTCAGTAAATTATTTTTTTTTATTCATTTTTCTTGTTTATCCCTACTTCCAGGATCAGTTATGCTGGTGAACTCCTGACAGTAGGATCAAACCATATCTACACACTTAATAGAGGGCTCCTCAAGGGTTCTTCAGTGAAGACAATGATTCTATGTAGAACTATAAACACTCAAAGAAAGCTTTGCTGCTTGGTGAGGTGGTTCTTCAGATTGATGGAGAGTGTGTTGTATATATGTCGAATCTTTTTGAGAATGGTTCTGTGTAGCACCAAAAGGCTTCTTCTATTGTTATAAGCTTGACTTCGTAATGATAGTAGAACCCTTTTTTGGTGCGATATAGAACACTTTTCAGAAAGGTTCTACATAGAACCATATACAGCACATTCTCCATCAATCTGAAGAACCATTTCACCATGCAAAGAACCATTTAATCATGCAAATGTTTAGAACCATTTTGCTGCTGTCGGAACAAATCCTCATATCTCTATTTTTATCATTTTACAGTTTTTTTTACATCATTTGAATATGAATGATGCTCTTTACATTGTGTGTGAGTTTCATTAAGAATGGCCAAAATGTAGTTGGAAAAAATTCTGGTTCCATTGACTTACATTAAAAGTAAAGCTATTTTTTTCCTTCTCCTGTAAAGTTGCCATTTTGGAGATACGAGCTTTTGTTTCCGACAGCAGCGATTTGCTTTAACTAGAGATCATGTTTTTAAGAGTGTCCACTGCTTAAGAGCCCCTGTTAAGTTTGTTTTTATTGAAACATGCAGCTGATCAGTATTCATTTATCTACAATGTGCTCAGAGAATGATGGTGCGATAGTTTTTCACAGAAATGATATCTTTGTATCACTCAGCCCTGGTTGGTATAACTGGCCCACATTCTGTACTACTAGTCTGCTGCACTGTAGACAGTGATTCTATTAATAGAGCTGAGACAGTCGGTCCCAAGTTAGATGAGCATGTCTGCTGAGTAAATTTTAGCTCTGTTTGTAATGTCCATTTGAATGCAGCCCAGGGTCCCGGATGTGTTTGGTGGGTTTGGCCTAAGGAGACTACACTCGCTCTGAAAATATTTTCTTTATTTTTTTTTGCCTGTTTAATAATTTAACAGTCACAGAAATGGTCATGTGTTAATTATGCAGAGCAAAAAATTGTCTGCCGATCCGATAGTATATCCAGGTTTTGTAGCGCTCTGAATGAAGCCAGAAGGCTCAGCTCTAACAGTCAGTGGTGAAACGGCTCAGGAATCCAAAGCCCTTGAACTGGATGGATGCTAGCCAAGTCCCATTCAGTACCAGTCTCTGTAGATAAGGCGTATTTGCTCATTTACGCTAGCATGTGCACTGGAGTGGTGTTTCACTTTGGTTAGTTTGTACAGTTTTACCTGCTGAAGATTAAAAGACTTTCTTCTAAATGCAGCAAGAAAGATAGAAATAGAGAGAGAGGGAGAGAGAGAGAGAGAGAGAGAGAGAGGGAGAGAGGGCAGACTTGCACCCACTGCTAAACCCTGGTCTCCATGGCGACAGCCTAACACAGTCAGAGGGTCACGGCTGCAGGGAATGGACAGAGAGACATTAAGAGGAAGTACAGATCAAAGGGCAGAGAGAGAGCGATGGGTGAGAGAGAGAGATATACAGAGACAGAGGGACAGAATAAGAGATGCATAGAGAGAGGGAGAGCTACAGGGACAGACTCAGAGGAGAGAGAGAGAGAGAGAGAGAGATATGCAGAGACAGAGATGAGAGAGAAAGACTGAATACGGGATACAGAGATGAGCGAGAGAGCAAGAGAGAGGAAGAGATGCAGAGACAGGAGAGAGAGAGAGTAAGAGAGACAGGAAAGAAAGCGAGGGAGACAGACAGGAGAGAGAGAGAGAGAGAGAGAGAGAGAGAGAGAGAGAGATACCCAGAGGAAGAAGAAAACAGAAGGACAAAGTGACTGCATGTGAAAAAGAGAGAGAGGTAAGCAAGCAAGTGTAGATGTTGAAGCAGCAGTAGGGTGCACCGTGTCACTTGGGAGAAAATAGACCATCCATGGGTCGAGTCAGGATTAGAGAGAGAGAGAGAGAGAGGAGAGAGAGAGAGAGAATTAGCTGTAGGCTCTAAGCCCTCAGGGAGAAGCTAAAAATATGGTCTATCTCACTCTTCTGGCTGCTCCTCTGAGCCTGAACAGCATCTGTCTCTGCAGCACTGTCCGTCCTCTCTCTCTCTCTCTCTCTCTCCCCCCCCCCGCCATGCCTTTGCCTGTTGCCCTATTGCCTTACCATATATCTCACCCCGTTTAACACATTCAGATCAAGTTGTCTCTTTCTTCTCCTAAACTTTCCATTCATTCATTCATTCCACCCTCGCTCGCTCCCTCACTCTCTAATTCTCTGCTTTGTGGTTATCCTTTGCTTCTCCTGTGACCTCCAAATCTGTCCTGTGTGGGTAGAAGTAGAGTGTGTGAGAGAGAGAGAGAGAGAGTAAGAAAGAGAGAGAGAGACAGAGAGAGAGGGAGAGAGGCAGAGAGGCAGCGGAGGAGAGACAGCTGTGTATATTGAATTCCCAGCTGGTCTGTGTCAGGGTCCATAGAGCTTTCTACAGGCAGGAGAGATTTACAGCCAATAAAACAGCTTATCATTACACCACTGATGATTGAGTGTTTGCTTGAGCTGGAGGTTAACCCCATGTCCTGTTCTAATGTCTAATGACAAGAGGCCTAACAATACGCTCAGGTCAGAGTGCGTGAGTGAGTCCTCAGTGAATGGGAGTAAATGGAGATAAATGGCTAAAAACAAAAAGTTAAAATAGCTTCTAATCACTCGCCCAGAACTTTCCTTTAATTTTAGAAAGTAGAAGGATGTATTTCACTAAAAAAAAGCAAAGAAAACTTACCTGTATGTTTCCTTTTCTCTATAGCAAATGGGTTTTGGGCAGCTGGACTAGCATTACTGCTACTAAGTGCTGATTGGTTGGCGAGCGGAGCAGCTCATTGGCTGTTTGCGCTCACTGACATCATAAACATACATAAGGTGCCGTTTTAAACTCCTATAACTCGAGTTTAAAAGCTCATAAAAATAGCAGCTAACAACAGTGTTAAAATGTTTTATGCTGTTCAGTGTTCAGGAAATTAATGTGTTCTTTTACATTAAAAATGTTATAGCATTTATAAACCATGATTTTGCTCAAATGCTCCATCTTAACCCATTCATTTGAGACTTACTCGTGAGCGCCCTCTAGCATTTGAGAAACCTAGAAGACATTACAGTGTGGTAATTCTCCTCGCTACAAGTTTTCTGGCGTGAACGTTGGCGTTGGGTTCCAAAAGCTACAACGCAAATATAGCCATTTTATTTACTATCCAAAACCACCAGTGAACTTACACACAAGTTTTTAAATATAAAGTTAAAGGAAAAGTAGTGGCAAATCTAAGAAATGAGTCTTTCTTTGAGGACTGCTTTGCAGGTACTCCCGGCATGTAGCTCTCTGCCATGATTAGATTGTAAAATAAATATGTTTAAGCCTGACTAGAGAGAAAAATCATCAACAACGATTGCTCAGCTGTCAGTGACATATGTTGCTCTTTCATGGATGCTCAGCAAAAATGTTGACATTTTTCAAGTTGAAATGAGCAGTTTAGTAACACAAAGCGCACATAAACTAACAACACACTTATAAAGTAGACATAAAATACCTACATGAAATAAGAGTTATGTGCTGTTAAATGAGGTCGTTGCCATCATTTGTGAAGCTAATGTTAGTATGATGGTAAATTTGTCAATGAGTATGTTTACATGCACTCATATTTGGATTCTTCCGTCATCTAAACACCATAATCCATTCTAGAAATCCGAATAAGAAATCCAATAAAGAGACCTGGATTTTAGCTCAGTAATCAGATTTCTCAGTGCATGTAAACTCTTACTCTGATTTCTTTCGGATTTCTCAGTCTGCGCATGTGGGAGAACAAGCGGCTGTATCGGAAATAAACAAGTAGCGTTGCCACGAGACGCAATAAAACACGTTTGGAGCGACACTGAAACCATCTATGTTCTTGACAAAATGAAGGATTTAAATATTCTTTATTTTCTAGATGATGTATGTTTATATAACTGGAGCAATGTTTTAAAAAAGCCGCAGCATGAAGTTTGATTTTATGCTACGTTTACATCACGTCTTCTGTGAGTTTATTGGCTGGTTGCAAAGCAGAAATCTGATTACTGTCTGACTCATGTAGACCCAGAGTTTCCCCATTATCTGATTACTCAAGTGCGGGTAAACATGTTGATCTGATTACTCACAAAATCTGATTATCTGCAGTTATTGGACTATTAAGTGCATGTAAACTCACTCACTGTAATTTCAATACATCTAGTTTCAATTAGCTACAGCAACATAGTCCAACTCAGTGGAGTACAGCTTGTCCAACCTAGCAACAGTTGCAACAAAGCAAACATTTGGGGGCGGAGCAAAGACAGATCAATCATATTAGATGGCATAATTAATACAAACACAGCTTATCTCACCCATCTACGAGGAATATTGTGTCCTAATGCATTGTTGCACTTGTACTAATGACAGTCTCTCCATTCTCTCTTTACAGGAGTGACAAACGAACAGTCGATCAGCTCTTCTTACGGAAGCCGTGTGGCTCAGCTGAGGAAGAACTTTAACACGCCAAACGCCAAAACCACTTCACCATGTGCCAAACCGCCCATCCCCACCAAACCAGCTCATCTGCTGACCTCTGCTTCAGCCAGATAAACACGCACACGGAGCAAATCGGCTCATCTGCCGGCCTCCGTCGCTATCAGATAAACACACACACACACAAAGCATCTGAGCTGTGGACTCTGGTTAATTTAACGTACCTGTAAATAAACCTCGAACAAAGCAGAGAAATGAACTCCTTGCATTCTACCCTGAGCTGATGTACAAACAGACATCAGCCTGAGAAGCCTACAGATTCACAAGGAGAGAGGACGAAAGTGAGAGTCATATACTGTATATACGGCCAAAACCCTCTCGATCTCTGCACTGCACTGCAGCACTACAACTCCAAAGGGTCAACACACACACACTTACACACACAGCCCTGACTTTCATGTCTTGACATGCCTCCCTGAATTTGGTTTTCACAAGTTATGGCGTCCACTGTCCAGTGGACTGAGTTTTGTGCTAATGCTTTCACATTCTGTACCTGTGTCTTGTTTTTTTATAACACAACGAGTTCTCTTAAAGGGAAGAAAGACCAAAGGTGTTTTCTACTCTTTTGTATTATCGAATGTGCTTTTGTAAATATCACCATGTGTTAAACATGGAAATAAAACTTTGCTGGATTTCAGTGCTGCATATTTTGTGCGTAATGTGTGAGTGAGTGAGGAATAAATATGAGCCAGGGTCATAATGTGAAACAGGGCTGCCCAAATTGTGGTGGTTGTGGGGGACATTTGATTTGGCCTGCCAGAAAGTTACTCTAACCCCACCCAGAGAGAAAACATGTTTTTATACCATATCTCTGTTGTCAGAAGAAAACCTTATATCTCCAAAATAATAACTTTTACAGGAGAAGGAAAAACCTACTCTGCTTTTAATGTAAGTCAATGGAACCAGACATTTTTCCAAGTCATTTTGAGTCATTTCTTTTGGTCCATTCATCATGAAATTTATACATAATGTTAAGGCATTTTCAAATTTTGTAAAACACTGAAACATGACAAAATTGCAGTTGAGGTTGCGGTTTTCTTCCAACAGCAGTGATATGTAACTTATTATATTCTTATTTTCCTTTTAAAATTGTATTTTTGGAGTATTTTGGTAACAAATTTGTTGTAACTTTGTAAATACTTTAAGAACTCTATTTTAACCCTCTACTGCACGCATTATGAGAGCAATTTATGTATGAGTTTGTTGCTTTGAGGCAACATTGTGCAATAGAGGGTTAAACCCTACACGGTTAGGAAAAAAGGATATTTTACAAGTACATTACAAACCATTCAAATGTACCCTCACCTGTCCTTAAGGTCCAGATTTGTACCTTAAACATACATTCACTTTTTCCTAGGGAAAGGTGCATTTTTGTAGCTTTTTATAACTTTTTTAATATAGAAAAATAAAATGAAAAGCCTGGTGTCAGGACAGGGTTAATGCAACTTAAAAAGGGTACCAACACAGTGACAGTTTAGTACCTTTTTAAGTACCTTTTGTCTTATTTTCCTTTTTTATTTGTGTATCATTTTGTGTTTTTGGTCCTCGGCCCACCAAAAACATTACTTTGACACGCAAAGGCTCCCAAAAGTTTGGAAGCCCCTGATCTAAAGAAATAAAATAATAAACATGATAGAGTCTAATACTGCAGGTAATAATTGCACACCTCAAAATCCTTCATTCATTTAATATGTTCAAAGTGTGAACTTCTACAAAGCAGAATTTGATGGAACTTGATGTTAATAGAAAACCAATATATTTGACAAATTTCCAGCAGTTCATTATGAACTGAAAGATACGCCGTGAGAATAACAGTCGTCCGCAGCTGGTCGGTAAAGGGTTCGGTCGCCGACTCATTCTGGATGATTTCACACACAGCTGGGACAGGCCCTTATCAAAGCATCAGCGCAGCCAAACCCCCCAACAAAAGCTTCCACGCAGCCTGCAGACCATACACACACACACACAGGAGCCAAGCCCACAGGACTGGACTCCTTTAACAGGCTTTCTCCCACACTCAAAAACCTCGTTGTAGGGCAGTTTGACCAGATATACTGCTAGGTTGGCTAACAATGAGTGCAAACTAATGTTGCTAGTTAGTCATTATAAGCTTATACATAAGCTACTATAACAGTACAGCCTAATTCAAAACATACGAAACCAATCAGATCAATGTCTAGAATGAGCTGCCAATCAGACTTGGCTGACTTAGTCAACAGAAAATATAAGCATGACTTCAAGGATTTGACGATTTTAAAAACCTCAAAAACTAACAAACTAGAACGGGAAGATTTGTGAATGCATTGCTACTGTATCCCAAGTGGTTGCTTAGGTGTTGCTAGGCCACTGGTATGGAAGCAAAGGTGGTTGCTAAGGTGTTGCTAGGCTGTAGCTGTGCTATCACAGGTGGTTGCTTAGGTGTTGCTAGGCCATTGCTATGCTATCCCAGGTGGTTGCTATGGTGTGGCTTAGCCACTAGGGTATGGAATCAAATATGGCTGCTAAGGTGTTGCTAGGCTATTTCTATGCTATTCCAGGTGGTTGCTATGGTGTTGCTAGGCCGCTAGTATGGAATCAAAGGTGGTTGCTAAGGTGCTGGCTGGCTATCGCTGAGTTATCCCAGGTTGTTGCTTAGGTGTTGCTAGGCCTTTGCTATGCAATCCCATGTGGTTGCTATGGTGTTGTTAGGCTGCTGGTATGAAAGCAAAGGTTGTTGCTAAGGTGTTGCTAGGCTGTTGCTGTGCTATCACAGTTGGTTGCTACGTTGTTTCTAGGCTGTTGCTATGCTATCCCAGGTGGTTGCTAAGGTGCTGGCTGGCGATTGCTGTGTTATCCTAAGTAGTTGCTAAGGTGCTGCTAGGCCATTGCTATGATATCCCAGGTGGTTGCTACGTCGCTGGTATGGAAGCAAAGGTTGTTGCTAAGGTGTTGCTAGGCTGTAGCTGTGCTATCACAGGTGGTTGCTAAGTTGTTGCTAGGTTGCTGCTATGCTATCCCAGGTGGTTGCTAAGATGCTGGCTGGTCACCGCTGTGTTATGTCAAGTGGTTGCTTAGGTGTTACTAGGCCATTGCTATGTTATCCGAGGTGGTTGCTATGGTGTTGCTAGGCCGCTGGTATCGAAGCAAAGGTGGTTGCTAAGTCGTTGCTAGGCTGTTGCTGTGCTATCCCAGGTTGTCCCACAACATTCACTCAACCCTGTCACCTGAACACATTCACCCCTCTGAGACATCTGGAATACTCCGCAAGCCACATGTTCAACAGGAATTTGCATTGTCCTGGGGACAATGTTACCAGATTAGGTGATTTCCACCAAATTGGCTGGATTACTAAATCATGCAGCTGAATTTTAAATACTTCTCCCCACCTCCGATAAGTTATTAAAACTTTGACTGACATTCATTTTAGTCACTCCTGTTAAGAGGCGGTTTCTGCCCCATCCATCTGCCTTGTTCACAGTCTCAAAGACAAGACAGGGACAACCCAATTCACTCAGCAATATTGACTGTAAGTAGTTCTGCAATAGACAGAAAATGGACTGGGCCATATAGACTGTAGTCATCGTGGTAACATTTTCTATGACTGTCGCGGTTTTAAGCATCTATAAACACATTCATAGCATGTTATAATGCATTCATAAGGCATATAAAAATGGTTATAAATATATATAAAAATGCATTACACTAAAGAACACTGAATTATAGCCATGCCTATTATACATTTTGAATTGTTAACATAATGCATTATAAGTAGTGTTAATAGCATGTTATATTGTCAGTGCCAAAGAAGTCAGTTTCCAATATTTTATTGCTCACTGCTGGTGCTGTTAGGGCTGCATCTTCAGGACTAAAGTCCTGGATATTCAGATGCTCCAAACAGGTTTTTCAGCCTAGAATTATTGCTACAATGTGCTTTTCTAAACCAGCACACTCACTTTAAATATTACATTACATCATAGCAAACCGAATACCCATCAGGCCCCTCCCCTGAACCCCCTCTGACATCACACTGAGCATGAAGTCACTGTGGGCTGAAGGCCTGGAGAGGGAGAGGCGAGATAGCAGAGTGCTGTCATCGTAATTTGTTCCCTTACTGGTTGTAACGTCAAGCACTAGAACCCTTCACTCTGTAACACCACTACACTACAGTAATGCTAATTTCTGCTAGCATTCTATTAGATATGCAGTGTTAAGTTAAGTTAGCGCATTTACTTTTCCACATTGGATAAAACACTGTTGATAGCAGCACTAGTTTAACTCTGAAATTTGAAGCCTGTAATGTGCTGTACTGTGTGCATTGCAGTGTTTCAGTAAATCCTCCAGTAAATACTTCAGCTTGAAGCCTCACTCGTAATACTGGAGGAGGCTTTAGTATTATATGCTTCATATGCTCTTATAATTTGTTATGAACACAACTTACAATGCATTTTGTTAACAGTTCACAATGCATAATAAGCACGGGTATAACAAGTAATGCATTTTTATAAATATTTATAGCCATGTTTATGATGCCCTATGAATGCATTATAATGTATTATGAATGTGTTCATAGGTTCTTATAGACATAACATTTATAGAGTGTTAGCAAGTGTTACCATTGTAGTCTGCAAAGGTGAGCAAGTTTTAAAAAATATGCATGAGAAAATTTTATGCTTGCAATATTAGTGATATTTATTTGGGATCATGGGTCGAATAATATACAGCATAAAAATGTTAATCCTTTCAAAACTGAAGTGGTTAAGTGTACATATACACATCACATAATGGAAATGTTGATGATGATATTTTACAGGTAAAATTACATTAAAACCTTTTGGTTCTTTTTACCACTAAAAAAAGACTGACAGTGCCAGTTAGTGACAAAGGAATTCTGCAGACTTCATCTGCAAACTTTCAAAGGCAAGACATCATTGGTTTACACAGTTTATCACTGACAGCATATTGATTTAATAGGTTTATATTATTTAATATTATGGATGAAATGCTAAACTTTAACTGTTATTGATATTTGTTTTATATGTGTGATTTATTGGGTGTTTTTCATGCATTTTGGGGCATTTTGAAAATTTTTTACTGGAAACTATAGAAGCAATCTGACAACCCTTCCTGGAGAAGAATAACTCTTCTTTTTTTTTTTTAATTTAGCTGTCCAATGTACTTTTATCCATAGTCATCAGAAAGCCTGATTCAGCTGATTATCCATATCTAGAACTTGCAGAGAAAGTATGTGAAGAGAACAGGGCAGAGAACACAGATGTGGAGGAGAGACTGGAAAGAGAGACAGAGAGGATGTGGAAAAGAGGGAAGGATGGGGAGGGGGCAGCGAGATAGAGCTGGAGTCAGAGCAGGCGAGATAAAAAGAGGGAAGGATGGTTGGATGCGAGAAATGGATGGAGTGAAGGAGATAGAGTGGGGAGGGCAGAGAAACAGATGGCAGATGTTGAAAGAGAGGAGAGGAGCGATCTGTTCACTCGCTGTGAAAAGTTCCCAAGGTTGTGAACCACACCGGACCACTTCACAAACACAGATGAAGCTTGATGTAAACTGGAAATTCATTAGTCCACCACAAAGATGGACAGTCGGGAGAACTGATGGAGCTCAGTTCTGCACCGTTTACTGTTTGCACTAATTGCAGTGACTTAGATCTTTA